GAATGTGCACCTATAATATAATTTGTTTAAATTCTATAACCTCTACAACTTCCCAACTGATTCAGAAAATAAAAACCTAGGAACTATTCTCATAGGCTTTCTCTATATTCCTAGGTTTTTATTTCTGAATTTGTTTCATGGTTGTAGAAGCTATTGAATTTTAAAGATTATATTACAGGTATACATTTTGAATAACATATACCTATAGATTTTATTAAATACCAATTTATTTAGTTGAAATTTCTTTATACAAGCATTTTACTCAAAGAATAATATATCTACTAATGGTTTCTCTATATTTAGATAAAAATATCTATTACTGAAGAATAAAAAATAAATAATAGTTTTTAAAAATATATAAGAATATTAAATATAAGTCTTATAGAGATTTAAGGCATCTTCTGTTTCTGGTATAATAGTCAAAATTGATACTAGTATAGTGAATATTAATATATTTTTTTTAGAGTAAAATACAAGTCCCTAGCATGAATGGACTAAATACTAGGGAGTCTTAAGAGCTGAAAGTACTCCATTAAGGACATTGAAACACCCCAGTAAATAGTGAAAGTAGTAAGTATAAAAATAAGTAAAAAGAGATAAAGTTAATAAATAAGTAAATACAGTCCACTGCATGTTAGAATAAAGTATTAAAACTGTAAAATATCATAAATGTATACAAACAAACTGCCAAAATTTAATTAGAGAAAATATTGCCAATAAGTAATTATTTTCTATCTAAGAGAATTATAAGCCATTACTTATATCAATATTCAGAATAATGAAAATTTTAAAGTATAAATAAGTATCCTATAAGCAATAATTCTCAGTCAAAATTTTGCAATTTTCAGCAGGCTGGACATACTAACAGATTGCCAAAAACCAGAAACTAGTTATTAGTATTGTCAATAATATCTGGTATGTACACTCTACCCCGAAAAAGCCTAATAGATATCAGTTTTTCCTTGATACTCTCACTTATTACTAACTTGTAATGGCTGCTACTATGAGCACTACTTATTAAAGATGACTTGTGGAGGTCATACCTGTGAAAGAATTCTCTGAAAAGCATTTTAGATAGAAAGTTACTTCAAAAGTAGTCTATAAAAAGTCTTTCCTCAATAAGTAGAAGTGAGGACTCCACAGATACTTTATAATAAACTACTAGGAGTAAACCAAAGACAATTGATAGCAGGCGATTTGGACTGACAGTAGTATATTTAGCTGTTGGACTGTACAAGTCACATTTAAGTGATCTGACATGTAGGAGAATACTATTCCAATAATTGCCTCCAACAAGTTTTTCAAACAAGATATGATTATATTATGAGGTGGTATTTTGGAAGGAAAAATAGGTAATGAAATTCCTTGAGATAAGGACTGGAGCACAATATTTTCTAAATATTATATTGACAATGTTCTTATCTTAATACTGTAGCCATTTTATGAGTAAGAGAATAACCACTCTGCTATTCATTCTCTCTGACTTATAGAGGATAGAGCTTTAGCCTAATATATATATCATACTCAGTGGCTTTAGGAGTAGTATGACTGTTATATTTCTATATCCTTGTTAGTATATAGCGATGGGCAATGATACCTCTTATATTTATCTTCTTATGATAGTTCTTATGCCTCTTAGTCTACATTACCAACACTCAATTAGGTAATACCTATTGTCATGAACATATAAGATATTGCCCTTAGGCTTGTGAGAAATGTAAAGGATAAAGAGCATGAAGATGTTTTATTTGTATAAAGTAATAAGTAAGAAAATTACTTAGAATATTCAATCTAATTTTATGTATACTTGTACCGCTGACTCCAGCATATGATAAGTCCTAGGGCTGGAACCCCAAGTTAATGCTACCTGAACACTACTAATCCTGAACTAACCAAATCTCTGACTCCATACCTCAAATATGCCCATGCTATGCTCTGACACGAATACTAAATACAAGACTATCAATGATAAAGAAAGTTCTCCTCAGCCCAGCCTACCTGCCAGCCAAGTAATCCTTGCAAAAATCCAAAATTCCACTACTACCATCTGAATATGACCCCATAATAACCTCCTCCACAGTAGAAGCTGACCTGAGTATTCTCACTCAATAATCTAGAGATATTGCCATCGACCACACCAGCAAACTATCATCAAATCCCAAAACAAAACAAACACCCAAAGTCTAAGCGCTTAGACTCAAAGGAAAGCCAATTTACTGAGCAAGAACTTCCTAGTTGAGGGGGTACAAACTGTCATAAACTATCCGAGGAGCACTACAGTAGTAGCACAGCCCAAACATCTCAATGGAAGGAGTCAGAGAGATTACGTTCTCAAGCTGTTAATACTTGGCTGAACATACTTAGGTATTATTCTGCACATACTTCTCAACTCTCTCCACAGATAGTGGACCAGCTGTGGACTCCATAGTAGTGGAGTGTAACCAAACGCATACTGGTAAAGGCGATGACTTATCAGAGTCAGAGACAAGTGGCATGTGTGAGGATTGATTACATTTTACCCAGAGCTTCTTGTTTCTCTTCCTCTTCTCACCCCCAGGTGCAGGTCTAGAGACAGGAGTAGATGGACCACCCTCGGCCCCACCTACCGCCACAGGAAGGATGCTATAAGAGGCATTATTCTGACCAGCTATGGGCTCAGGCACCTGCCCCACCCAAGGGGGTAATACCACTGCAGCTGGTGCTACCATAGTAGATTCCTACTATCTACACTAGGAGTATGCACCTCCATCAGCCCCAGTGAACTAGAAACTAGACCACCCATACTAATACCCACAACCACAGCTGCAGGTAAGGGCAGGATAAATGCTGGAGCAATATTCCCCATAGGCGCTTCTCTGCTGACTCTTAAGAGTTCTTAGGATCCAGCCCACCTCCTACAATTGAGACCACTGTGGTAACTGAAATGACTGAGGGGACAGGCAAAGAGGAGATAACAGTAGAAGCAACAGCAGTAGTCAGCAAAGTAACTAAACTGTGAATATGTTTACCTTGAGAGACAAGAACAGATGTCAGAGTAGATACTTCCTTTTCAGCATGAAGAAATTATGAAGAAAGGACAGAGATGTGGTGCTAAAGGTGAGAGACTTTGGCCTTTAGGATGAAGTTGTTCTTCACAGCACAAGACAGAATCACTGATGAATGCAGAGCAGAAGTGGCTGAAGGGGTGGAGGCTCACTTAGCTATTGTAACTGTAAAGAGGCAACTTAAATGAACAGATGTAAAAATAGGTACAAGGAAGTAAGAACTTCCAGCAAACGTAGAGAGAGGGATAACAACAAGGCCTAAAGAAGGTGCTTGAGGTTAAGAACTTAGAGTCTATTGTAAGATAGAAATTAAGAACTCTGATTGGATGAGGGTAAACTTTTACGTTCTGAGGCAAGGTGAAAGTAAGGACAAGGAAATTACTTAGAATAAAGTGTGAAGAGCCTATCCTTCTTAGCTGTACTGGTCTCCTTATATAGTACTCTCCTTGCAAACCCTAACCCTGATGACTCATAATTATGAGTTATGTGAAATCCTTGTAATAAGTCACATGACTTGAATGAGTCAGATGCATGAAACCCATGACTCATAATCGAGTCATGTACGAAACATAACAAATCATAATATAAACAAGTCATATGACTCAAGTGAGTCATATGCGTGAGACCCATGACTCATAATTGAGTTATGTACAAAGTCATGTTACCTCTGTGACAATGACATTCTGAATCTGGACTGGCTCTCCTCTTCTTTAGACCTTAATTAGATTAAAAATGTTTAGTTTATCTAAAAGGATAAATTAAACAAGTAGCATTTATAGCTATAAGTATTAGAGAAAATAGTAGAAGCAATACAGGAAGAGTAGGATTGAATCTCAGAGGTACATCTTTTAATCTTTATTGATTAAAAAATACAAGCTATCATCACCACTTCTGGAGGTTATACTTGCTAGTGAACTTTAAATAATTTCTAGTCTTTTTGTATTTATCATTATTTTCAATATTTTTAATCTTTAATATATATATTATATAAAGAATATATCTTTTGATTATTTTTATACTAACTACTTTCACTATTTACAGGGGGGATTTAGCATTCTTTACAATGGACTTTCCACTCTAAATACTACCTGGTATTCAGTCTGTTCATGGCAGGAACCTGTACACTTATAATATATTTTAATTTTTTAAATATATGCTTATACTATTCAGGTAATTACTATCTTATTATAGGTTAAACCTATAGTATAGTATGTTTTTTTATTGACTATTGTCTATCTACCAGTATTGTAGTCTATAAATAAAAACTTTAACTATTTTTCATCTGATAAAATAGAAGATATTTTAATTATAAACTTCAGCTACATGGTTGTGTTGAATAATTTTAAAGATCCTGATACAATCTTTAAAGAGTATTATCTTCTATGATATGAGTGTTATTTTAGAGCTGTAAAAAAATGTTCTCTCATATATTTAATGTTTCTTTATAGTGCTTTAGTAATATTAACTCATGTATTTATAATTACCTTAATGTTTATACTACACCTAGTTTAATCTAAAATCATCTCCCAAATCTTAAGCATTAATTTCTATATTTATAGTTCAAGACCCAAGTATATAATAGGTAATTTTTGTTAAAATTTTATACTAAACTTTACAGATTCTAGTGTCAACATAGTGTCAAAAATCAAAGATATTTTAACTTTATTCTTATGCATAATTCTACTCAGGCTGGTTGATAATCTAGAAGTAAATTTTATTTTATTTACATGCTGATTTATTGGAACAAGTTCAAGGTTGAAGTATTAGCTGGTATCATATCCATTACTATACAAGGGTGTGAGGACTTTCCGGACACGACTGTGCCAGTATAATAATTTTATTCATCTAACAACCACCAAGCACCCGGACCAATCATTATTTCTCTAACAGCAAAAACATCACCGCGGCCTAATCTACTTGCACCCCCAAATAACACCAAAGCTATAGTACTATAGCGAATTCCCCTGCAATCCAACCCAACGATTCAACCATCTAAACACCCTATGATACCATCCCAAAAGGCATAACAATCCAATACTAGTTCCACAAAACCCGCAGACTGCGGTATACACACCCAATAAACCCATCATAAAAACACCAGACTAAACCAACAACCCACCCCCGACATAAGTAGTAAAAATGAGACTTGATTTTTTCTTTTCCCTCGAAGACTCCACCCAAACACCAAATAGCTTGCCACCTATTGCATATTTGTCGAAGAGGTCACAGGTATAAGTTTAATAAACCGGTTCGCCTAACCATACCCAGCCCCCAGCCCACGCAAATCGTGATCTTCAACAGATAAATAAGCAGAGCTAGGCCAACTCGCTAAGTTAAGCCATGATCAAAAATACTATGAGGCAAGGCTGTGAACAAGCAAGCAAGCAAGCAAGCAATAAAGCAACCGCAAAATCTACCCCCGCCATGCTGGTTCTTAATAATGAATGAAATAAGAAGAAAACAACTGCCCAGTTCGCCCGCAAAAGGAATAAGGAATAGAAAATGCGAAAAAATGAAAACAACAGAAGATGGGTACAGGATGCATGCTGTTTAGGAAAGAGGGGCATTTTCCGCTTGCTAGGGATAAGGTACGCTATGATGGGTATGGTATAATGGTATGGGTATAACAAAAGCAAAGGAAAGCAAGGTATCATATCATTTCATCTTCTGAACCCCTTCAAGATAGATATCCCCCCCCTCACCACTAACCCACCTTCTCCATGCTTCATGATAGGCATCTTCCAAATCGCGCACCCAGCGTTTTGTATCGAAGAGCGCCGACTTCCACCGATGTTCAAACAGCACCTGCCTGATAGTCCCCAATTGCCCAACTCCCCTCCCCTCATCATTATCGTAAACGAGATTGGACACCAGCGCCGCCGCCCGGTCTTCATACTCCTCCTCGCTATCAACAATAAGACTATTAGCCATCGCCTTCCCCTCCGGCGTCTGCGGGACTGCAGCACGGAGAATAGAAGCGGCGATGCGGGAACACATTTTGTGCTTGTGTCGTGGGAAGGTCAGTAATGGCGTTCCAGACCAAAGGACGTCTGCAGCAGTAGTGTGTGCGTTGCATTCCGGCGTGTCGAGGAAGATGTCGCAGACTTGTGCTCGGGATATGTGTTGGAGCTTTGGAGCAACGTCTGTGAAGATTATGCGGGAGGCGATTTCTTCCCCCGCCCAGGCCACTGCGAGTGCTTTTAGGTTGCTCTCGCCGAGGTCGGGAAAACGGAGGAGCCAGAGGACGGCTTTGGGCACGCGGGAGAGGATTCGGAGCCAGGTTCTAAAGGTTGTTGGCTCGATCTGTAACAGTGATTAGTGGTGATATTGAATGATAATGGTGTATGGGAGGCCGGAGGAGGGTGCTCATACTTTATATAGCTGGTTAAAGTTTCCAAGGATTACATTATCCGGCTTAAGTTGAGGGAATAGCTCCTTCCTTTTCGCCCACCGACGTGTCTGCTCTTCCTCCCAGCCTAATTGTCTTGATTTTGAATCCGGCGCGCTCTGCCTATGGTCGCAGCAAAAAAAGCTGTACTTGGCAAATATAATATTCTCTGAATAAACCCATTCTCCATTATCACTTGTTGTGCCTTCGTGTCCTTCATCCTCAAGATCGACATTTCGTCTCCAGGGTCGCAGAGTTTCTTTAGGAATTGCCGTCGAGTCGGCGTAAAGATAATCACACCACTCGGCCCCCAAAGTGCCAGCAAATCCCATAAAGCTCATTTGAATTGGCGCTGGCCTAGCAGCAAATATCTCATTCCGGGCACCTCGTGTAAAGCCATTAAGGTTAATTAGGATATGGATGCCGTCGTTGACAATTTGTTGGACCAAACGATCTGGCCCCCAGCTGTGGGCATCGTGGAACACAGGTGATTCCCTCTCAATCTGTTTCCTATGCTCTGAGTTATCACTCGCTGTGGTAGCATAACAGTAAGCTTTGGCGCGGGCTGGGTCATGGAGGCCAAACACGGACTGCATTAGATGGGCTAGAGGGTGATTATTAAAGTCTGATGAAACATAGCCAATTTTCAGGCAGGGTGCTGGTGGCGCTGGTGGTGGGAAAACATGAGGCGGAAGCCATGGGGCTCGTAATGTAGAACAGGATATTCGCAAACCATTCCTCTGAGAGATCATTCTGACTTGCTTGGCCGAAAGCGGACAGGTGAATGTATGGAATGGGAGAACTGTTGGGGCGCTTGGGGTTGACAGGCTTGATGGAACTGTGGGCCTGGAATATTCATTCAAGGATTTCTCAACACCTTGGACATATTTTTCCTGATACCACCTCCAGACAGTCCTGCGAGATGCCCTCTCGATGAGTCGGATAACCTTTGCTCCTTCAAACGGTTTTCCAGCCCAACCTTCAACTCTTTTTACTAACGATCTCTTCCTTTCCTCTGACCACCTCGCCCCGTCCGCCTTCTCAAGTTCCCTCAATAATGTGTCTGCGACCTCCGGAACAGCCACTACACCTTTCCCCCAATGTTCTCCATCTACCAACTGCTTCTCTACGATCTCCACAACTCGTTTCATCCACCCACTAGACTCTGTTCCAATTCCCTTAGCATCTATCAATCTCCCGTTGTCATCAACATGCCATCGGTCCCTATTCCCCCCATCCCTCACAATGCCGCCTCTTCCCTTCCAATCGCAAACACTATTGAGGGCATTTGCTAATCCGCACACAGCTTCCGCAAATTCTGGACTAGCTTTCACTGCCCTGCGGTAAAACTCGATAGCGTCACCGATGCGACCCTGATCCTTGACCGCATTGGCTAGATTCGCGAGCGCAATATCGAAAGTAGGGTCGCAGGCAACAGCCTGTTCATACATTTTGATTGCTGCATTCAATTGGTTGATATCCTTGAGCAGGCTACCTAAATTGGTATATAAATGCGCGTGGCGTGGATCAAGGCTGAGACCAAAGTGATAGTACTGCAATGCAAGATTGATGCCAGATGCCTGCCCAACACCCGGCGACCGCGGAATTATAGAAGGCGGTGATGTCGTCAACGCAGACACTTGCTGAACGCTAGCTAGCAAAATGCCGACATTATTGGCCGTCGAGGGGCTAGGGTGTAATGAAAGGGAAAGATAGTACAGGGCTAGGATATCTTTGACGTCGGCAGCTGACCTTGGCCCTCCCGCACCTGCCCCATGCCCGGACGACATACCGTCTTGGAATATTTTTGCGAGTGAAAGTAAGGAATTACTTGCAGTGGATATGGCCGCTCGCTTGGCTGCCGCACTTGGAATATCGCGTAGTCCCGGGAGTTCTCCGGTTGGGAACACGAACTTAGTGGTGAGAACAGCCTTCTCCGGTGTTAGCAAGACTGCACCTGGATTAGCTGTAGACAATTTTTCCGAGGCGCAGACACCATCGACGGCTGGTCTAAGTGCAGCAAGAATCTTGTTTATTAGCCCCTTTATTCCACCACGTTGCATGTCAGCACCAAGCAATACGGCATCCTCAAAGGCTTTGGCCGCGCCAGCATTATCCCCCAATGTATAGAGCATATTTCCCTTTGCATGTATCAAAGCTAGCATACGACCATTGTCGGAGGAGGGAATAAGGAATTCGCTCGATCCATGGTATACAGCGCTCTTAGCCGAAGGAAATTTGGCATGGTTTTCCTCTGCGTCGTAATCAAACTTTAACTCTGGTGAAGCTGAAAGAGACGTTGAGGCCGATTCATCACCAGACCCACTGCTGCTAAGACTAGGATTTCTTCCATTCAAGCGGTTTGGGCGGCGAAGCTTAGACTCGACAAAATTGATGATATCGACAGCCTCTTTCCCGCGGTGCTCGCCACAAAGCAGACCGACCAAATGTTCAACTGCTTCGAAATAACTGGGGCGTTTCTTGACTGCACGAATCCAATATTGCTCTGCTTCCTCACGTCGGTTTAAAGAAAGAAGCGTCGCAGCTAAATTTGACAATGCTTCCACGTGACTATGTACATGAGAGATGTCAGCATCTTTAGATGAAACAAGAATTGGACACCGTGAGAGGTTGTACCCGTGATCCACCTCCAAGATTTTGGAATACCAGTCAATCGCTCTATTTAGGTCACCCAAACCCTGCTGGAAGCATTAGACTCGCCCCTTTTGCCTAGGGATAAAAACATGGTGAAAATGGCACAAACATATGCTAAACATCCTCCCAAAAGCATCCCGTCAAGCCAAACCCAATTACTGCCCGCACATAACTCGTTCAACATGTCCAACGCCGCCATAGCTGAGGCAGTCGCTAATGATGGCCTTTGATTGATCACACTACCAAGGCCACCAAGGGGTGTAATATTGAGCATGTGTGCCGCATTATTACCGATGCCACTAGAAGCTGGGTGTAATGAGCCTGCAGAGTAGCAATCCCTCGGCTGTTTCTTCTCGTAAGCTTGCTCACCGCTGGACCAAATACCATGAGTGCTGTGCTCAGAGGGATTGTCACTGCCGTCAGGAATGTGTACTCCATCAACTCCGCCAAAAAACTCATCATTATTTTCGAATAGTGCATTTGAATGAGATGAAGATGTGCCAATTTCCGGATGATTTTGCTCTTGGCCGATACTAGGCCTTATCCGTTTCCTTCGGTCCGTAACTTCTCTATTCACAACAAATCCCCCAGGCATAACATTTTGGGGTGACGGCATGGGGCTTGGCGCGGAAAAGAGCTGTTGGGTACGGGCATTATTAGATCGCCAGTTGTCCATCTGAGATTGTAACGGAGGCCGAGGAAATAATCTAACCTTTAACTGTGTCCGTGACCTATTAGCTTCCGGAGAATTACCCTCTGGCTGTCTCTGCTGCGCTTGCAGAGCAGCCAGAAGGTCGACATAAACTCCATGAGCCCATGTTAAGATCTTATCCCGAAACTGAGGGTTTGTGGTATCGTGGTGAGCAGGATTGGAGCTTGGCCCATCAAGCTGAAGATGCTGAAGTTGAACCTCAGGGGTATTTACCAAGGGGGAATTCAGTGGATATGGCGACGTTATGTGCGGCGGAAATGTTGATACAGAAACAGAATCTATTGCTGGAAGCTGCTGGGATGTCCATAGCAGGGCTCCATTTGTTTGATGCGGCGATGGAGTATAAACCGAGTTCACATAGTATACAGGAGCTTGTGGTAGCTGCGTAGGAGTCGTGTTTCCATTCCCCCATGCACCATAATGACCGTACCAGTTGCTATCTCTCGGCACGGGATTGTAGTTACCGCAGCTCATTAAACTATTAAAATCCTCGCAGGAAGCGGTTGGTGCTGTTATAGGGTTGTAGAAAGGTTGAAAACCACAAGGCCTCCCCCCTATGTAGATGTTATCGGATATTGGTGGAACCATCTGATTTTGCTGAAGTAAAAACTGTCGAACATATGGGTCTAGGTTGTCGTCCAACGATGCCTGACCACTAGGCTGGGTGACCCACATTGTTGGAGCAATATTTCCTCCACCAACTATCATATCCGCACTTCTCAATTCCCCTCCCCCATCCCAGGGTCTCACTCCTTGCCCAACGTTATTATCCCAGGATAAATGTCTCGTAAGCTGAGGGTCTGAATGGACTTGTGGGCTATTTGATTGCGGTGTGGGAAGGAGAATGTGTTTAGTTGGCCTGGACCACTCCATCGGGGCCGCGTCATACGCAGCGGGGAGGGTGCCCGATGGCGTCTTCCGTCGAAGTAAGTTCTCCTGGTACGTATGTTGGGAAGGGGTGGGCACGGCTGCCGAGAAGGGTTGGGCTCGATACATTGGTCGAGTAGGCAGGCCTTGTGAAATACTCGGGTGTTGAAGATTAGGTTGGTGGTGCTGAAAATAGTGCGGATTCGGAGCGTTAGGGTTGGAAGGATGTAGAAGTTTGGACATTAGTATAGGTGCAGCGGCAGCTCGAGCTCCCGTCTGATCACTCTGATGTCGATGGAAAGCGGGTGAAGGCAACATTCCGAGAAGCGGTGTCTATAGCAAAGCTCAGGGCTGAAGAAGGTTTGTGGCGACGGTGACCGACACTGTAGAAGTGAAATAGGCAAGGAGGTTGATGAAGGCAACACCAGGCAGCGGTCCTGGGATGACGCGAGACGGTGACGGCAGTTTCGTCTTTGCCGAGGGGTCCTGCTTAGACGGTTGCTGCATTAATTAGCTGATCCGTCCGGTGGTTTGTACCTCTGCTATTCTTGTAATTTTCCTTCCCTGTTTACCGCTGTCCCTATCTGCTCGCGAATGCGGTGGAATAAAAGTGATGATAATGACGGAGATGGTGGGGAAAAAGAAAAAAAAGAAAAAGAAAAGGCTTTCCAAACCACTGGAACCACTTCCCACTTCTTCTGCGGGCTTCACTGCCACAGCCTCCCCCTTGGGTGTAATTGGGGTTTTATTCCTCGGAACAGCCTCTGTGACGATGAGTCTGGGTGGCTGGCAGGGCTGGGATTTGGGGGGGGGGGGGAACGAGGAATTTCGATGGAAACGCTAGCAGCAGAGACAGATAGCAGACATGTGAGACGGCCAACCGTCTCCCTCCTGTCAAGATCCGCTTACCTCAAGGAAGCCAGTCCAAACCCGACTCAAGCTTGTATTTTTCACTCCTCCTCACTCTCTTCTCTTTCTCTGTCCCCCTAAAACCTTCTCCCTCTTATTTTGTCCAACCGACGGAGCTGTTCTCACCCGCACTTTTTTTCTCTTCCTCGCTCTCAGCTTCCTCACTCGGGCCCTGTGCCCTCCCTTTCAACGGCTTCTCACCCCAGCACTTGAATCTCGAGGGTCGATCTTTCTCCCAATCCCAATGCCTGAACGAGCTGGATCCAAAAATAGGCCAACCAGAGAAGAGAAAAAAAAGGGAAAATGGCAAATAGAAGCAGAGAAAGAGAAAACAAATAAAGGGTTTTAAAAACAAAAGATATAAAGAAATGGTTAAGAAGAAGCGGAGGGGTAATCAGAAGTGAAAAAGAGCAGAGCCAAGTCGAAGCAGAAAGTGACAGGATTAGAAGAAAGAAAAAGGAATTGTCGACGGCCTAAAGCTATTGATTGATTGATTTTTTTTTTCCTGCGCTCTTCCTCTCTCTCGCTTCTCGGTCTCTTTCTCGGCAACTGTCAAAAATTTTGTAGGGTACGGCGTCAACGTATCAGTCTGTGGATTTCTAACTTTCCATCACTTTCTTAGCGCTGTGCAAGCAAGGCTGCTTGTGGAGTTGTTCGTTATGTAGGGCGAGTACAGATTCCCTGTCCACTGCCTTTTCAACACAACCGAAGAGATCACAAACACTGGTAAGTACCGGGAGGAGAGGCCGACTAAAGAGAGGGAGCGGAAAACTTACACAAAGAGTATCTGCTCGGCAGGTTCCTCCTGCGAACTGTGGGCCGAATGGAAACGCGACGATCCTAGAATATCTGACCACTTCACGATAAAGCTAAACGTCCGCTTACTGCCACACACCGTTTTACGATTCAGATTTCAAAAGAAGATCATCTCGCAACGAACAATCAAAAACGGAAAAATATAAACACAAGTGAGCAAGCGGGAAGGAGGGGAGAGGAGGGGAAGGTAATAGTTGAAAAAAGCCGAGTGAGATGGAAGGAGAGGAAGAGAGGAATATGAAACAGTCTGAGGGGGGGGACGACTTGCTATTGAAATGGTGGTAGCTGGGCGAAGCTGAGCGTCTTTGAACAAATTGTGCAAAGGTCAAGAGTACTGTACAGCACGGGTGTGCAGGGGCATGCATATATTTGGCTGCATGATGCAGGTGTGGCAGCCCGCAACTATGTGGCGCGAAGGAAGGCTTGATAGACGAATAAAACTCCAGCTCAAAGCCGTTATGATACCTCCCCCTCCACCACCAATCCAATCGCCCTAAAAAAATGAGATAACCAAAAGGAAACCAACATCACATCAAATAAAAGATCATATCACTTCCCTTCAAAACAAAAAACAACAACAAAAGAAAGTCTACCGTACCCAATTCTCATCTCATGCACCAATCCACCGGCCTAGTAACCGAAGAAGCAGGTTCCAACAGGAAAACACCACAGAAACCGTTACTCCTACCCGGTATTCACAAGGATCTCACCCTACCGGTACTCGAGTACTGTCCCAAAGGATAGTATGTGACTTACTCGCATACCGTAGCAGGAACAAATCGGTCGTAAAAAAAAACTCCAAACTCTCCACTCGTATCGTAGTAGGCGGGTAATCGATTTTTCGCGATGCAAGATTTCCCCTAGATAACTGCCGCCCCCACTTTGCGGCCCTCCTCTCTCTTGTGGAGGAAGGGCAAAACTCTTTCTCCTTTCAGAAGTTCGGCCGTTGGGGGGTTTTACGTCTTGGGGAATGATTGATTGATTGGTTGGTTGGCCTATTAATTGCTTATTCCCGGCCGCATGTATCATATGAGGCACAGATCATTTACATTCCTGGAACGGATTGGGGCTGCTCAGACTGTACGAGTACTGCACACTCATTACTCTGCCCGTATCATTCTGCTTCTGCCGTACTCGTATCGATCTGTAATGTACAAGTACTGTACTCGAACAAGTACTCGAGTATTGTAGTGGGTGAGTAGAGCATCATGCTATATTTCGGATTCCTACAGTAGAAGTATCGGTACTTCAAATTAGTCGGGCCGCTGAAAACCCACATTGCCGGTGGAGCACCGAAGAGAAAAGGGATTATCCGTCCCAGCCTGTCTTACTAGTACCATATCACGACAGCAGCACCGCATCACAACACTAGCAGTATAAGGACACTTCTTGTCCTCCTCTCCCGAAAGGTACTCGAGTACGACCACTTTTGCACCCTGGATTGACTTGACTCGCGTATAGCGCTGTAAAAGAAAAAAGAAAGGAAAGGAACAACCTTTCCCCAACCTCCATGATTCCATGCTTAGGCTGCTCGAGTGCAGTACCGTATCACCTTTTCCTCCCACTCCTCCTCGTACAGTACTGTACCGGTACACCAGCAGAACCACGCTTTCCCTCCTCTCCTCTCCTCCCCACCTGCCTTCTCCAACTCTTCATTCTTATGATAACTTACCACACCGCACCCGCCAAAGCTCCTCCCCCACTGCTCGAGTACAACCACTTCTTTGATGCAGTCTACTCATAAATTACGTACTCGAGCACTCAACAAGCCCGCAGATCATTTCTCCCCACGCCCTCCCTAAAACCGAATATAGTAGGGAGTCTCGCCGTGCTGACTCAGATCTGGGATATGTACTACGGTTCCAGGGGGTTCACCGCAGTACGCGTGGAGATTTCTCGATTCATGATATAATTTCGCTGATTGACAAAATCCATAGACTACTCGTAGAGACTAATGTGAAGAGAAAGGTGGGGTTTTTAGTTGGAGTTCCAAGGTGTGGGATGCTGTCAACTTGAAAACTTTTCAACACTACCGGCGCGGTAGTCATTAGACTACACCCACCCTCCTTGCTTTATTAAGCTCGACATTGTACGAGTACCGAGTATCTCTGAACCAGCAACCCGCTTTGTTAATCACCTCCAGAGCCGGTACTGGTACCGCTAAGTTACCGCTGCCTATTTACCCAGTCCGCGGTTCATGGATTACGGATCTCTTATTCGAGCCGCGCTGGACCGCCATGGTTTCAATCTACCGGTAATTTAGAGGTATTATCCTGGCAGGCTGAGACTCCCTACAGATAGCCGTCCGATCGACAGCCCTCCGACAAGGATGGCAAAGGGAGAACCGTATCCAATCAAGCAAGCAGTCAATGGGGAGCGTGACTGGAGAGAAAAATAAATAAGACAAAATTTAATGAAGCTAGGTATCATAGGTTATCCTCTCGTTCTGTTCCATTTTCTCTCTCCCCCAATGGATGGAGGAAGAAGGGTTTAGAGCTTTTTGTTGAAATGACCTCTCTCACTTCCCTCCCTCCCTTTCCTTTCCTTGTGTGGCGGCGGGTGTGCTCGAATAGTACCGCATCGGCAGTGGTGCTTTGGAATAGTTGTGGGTTTGGGTTGTCATTTTGATTAGCGAACCTGAGGGTCGGTTGGGTGTGTGGGGCGGGGGACCGGAGCGAGGTGCCCAGGAGTGGACACTCCGGAAATACTTGGATGTGGGTGTTAATCCGTGAACACCGTCGTACCGGTATTGGTCAAACTGCCGTAAATACATATTAGTACCCCTTCTGGCAAACGGGAAATCGCGGAGTGTTTGCCGAGTTTTCTCTCTCTTTAGAATCATTAGACTTAGTTACAGATCGGAAACTACTTTACCATTCATTGGGAATGTACTAGTACACGTAACTGACCCTGGTATCGGTATACGGTAGTTAGGATTAATTTTTTGAAACTGGTATCCGAGTACCGGTGCTCGTTCAGCCCAGCTGAAGTTAGCTCTTCTGTACTGTATCTACGGTGCAAGGCGTTTTAAATCTGTACCAAGCCCGTTGCATTCTCAAATGTCTCTATTTATCATGGCAAAGGGTCAACTTTTGCCTGGTGATTTTTGTTTCCAGCTCCACAATCTGGAGTCGATAGCAACATAATATTATCATAGAAGTGTGTTGAGTTTGTACTGTAAATCTGATTAAGAACTCTTATACTATATGTAAGAAAATATATACATTCTATCTAACTAGTAAAGTAAATTTCTTGGCCGAGAAGTCCACCCCACCTGAGAGATATATTACTGTGCAAGTACTTGTATTTCCATCTTTCTTACCAAGTTATTTGTAAGAAATATTAACTTTACCTCTTCTGTTTACCAACACAATTATATAATTCAAGTTGTTTCCACTTAAACTTGGAGTTTATTCATTTAATATTTGTATATTTTGATCAAATAAGATAATATGAGTAATGGTAGTTAAGTAATTCAAAAATCAAACCTGTTAGATGATAAAGTTAAACAAGAAAACTCATACAATACTAGTAAATCTTAGTCCCTTTTTGTAAAACACTAGCCAATACTAGCAAAATTTAAGGATTCACTCATGGTTAAGAAAATAACTCTTCAGTTTTTAAGCAGGAAAACACACTTCATAAAAACTTATAAAAAATTGAAATATTTTTTTGAAAATAAACCAGTACTGCATGTATTTATTTGAAAGTAGAATTTTTCTAATAGATTTATTACTATATTAAAATATTAAGTATTAACTGATATTTTATAGTAAATGTCCATGACATACTGTTATTGAAAAAAGTTTCTATAAACTTGAATTCTATAAAAAAACAATTTCTAACTTCTACTCAATTTTCTCTAATATGTAACTTTAAGTATTAGTACTATTACTACTTCTTATTACCACAACTGAAGAATAATTAAAAAAAGTCTATTTAAGTTACTAATAGTGGAAATTATTTTACCAATATATAAAAGGCAAGATAACAGTAACGTAGAGAAGTATTACCTTATTATAGATATTATTTTAGTATAATAAAATAATAGAAATTAAATCTAGCTTTTTTTAGATACTTAAAACTAATTATCTTATTTTTATTAGATATATAATTGTTTTTTCCTACTATCAGATTTATAAAGAAATCTATATTTTATTAATTTTATTTAATAAAAAGTATAGAGTAATTTTGTATTACAAGTTTTTAATTTTTAATTTCTTTTACTAATTTAATATTATACTAATATGATTGAGGATATTTTGAATCAAAATCTAGATCAGAACTTTTTTTTTATGAGATTTTGCATTAAAATTTATATAATTCAATAACTGCTTCTCTTTTTATTTTTATTTTCCTCTAGAGTAAACATTAAGACTAGTATTTTATAAATATATAATTATTTAGATATGTAGAACTTTCTTGTTAATTTAAATAAGTTTAGCTTCATTTTTATTAGTATAGAAATAATTACTTAAATCTATATAGAAGTTCCTCATATCAGAAAACAAATCTCTTGCATCTTAAAAGCTAGTGTATTTTTATATCTTTATACATGCCTTATACATTTGGAGAACATAAGAATATTTGAAAGTATTACAAGTCAACTATTCATATCATACAACTAGTAATGATATACAACTAATCCTTCCTCATACTATATCAATATATATAGTAATCTACTAATTTGAATAATACTTTCTCATATCATGCTATATATAGAAGGTTAGATACAAACTAGTAGTAAAGGTATATGAGATAGTTAAGGAGTATGAAGGTTCTATTTAGACAGTTATATATAGAAAAGAATAATAGAGAATCTGTAACAATCCTACTCCTCTATACTTAGTTCTTCAACAGGTAATGACCTTACCTCTTCTGTCTCCCAGATACCTTGATAGCTCAGAGAGTTCCTATCATCACTATTACTTCTGCTAGTGAGGATAATATTGTACTCGCATTACCTCTTATAAGCAAGAATACTTTCTCATATAATGTTGCGAAAGTGTATATAAAGTATTGATATAACTTGTAGTTTAGGAAAGAACTTAAGTGATTGCATGAGAAGTCTGTATTGGAGGTCCTCTTTTTTTTTCCTTTTTTTTTTGTTATCCTTTTATTTTACCAGTTTTATGTAAATAAGGTTCGGGAGTCCTATCAGCTAGTACTATGGAGACCCTTACCTCCTCCCTGCCATGTTCTCCAGTAGCCAGTAGAAAAACCATAATCCCAGAAAGGCTAACACTAGCAGCCAGGTGCCCAATGCTGAGATCCCACAACTTGAATGCTGAGGGGTCTTACTTAGAGCCACTAATATCCAACCTGTCCTTGATTTAAAAAATCCCGTGCCAGTCTCCCACATGCCTATCTACAAACAGTAAAGACAGAAAGCCCAGAAACCCATTATTCAAAGCAAGGAAATCTACAATTCCGACAATACACCCCCAACTGAACAGAAGAAAATACAAACCAAGGAAACCCCAAACTGCCAGCTGAAACTAACCTCTCACCTACAATGACTTGATACTGGGCCCAATCTGTGAGACAGACTACACTGGTGAAGTCAAAATAATGAATAGGCACACTGGATAAATGACATAAATATATGTCTGGAACATATGGCCTGCAGAGATAAGTAGGAGAAACCATAAGGAAAGAGGGCTCACTGTAGGTAAGAGGTAGTGGTGAAATGAGAGTTCCAAGCTGTCTATTTGGGAGAGCCAATGGGGCTACCCGAGTTAGCAAAAGAGGGAATGGTAGTAGGATATCAGCCAATAGTAGTATGATACCAGCCGATATAACTGAAGAGAAAGAAGGAGAAAGGGCCAG